CGTGTAGAATGGCGTAGACACTCATCCATATTATATATCAGTTTCGTCATCGTTCTCCTTCTCTCTCACTCTCGTGCTCGCTCTCTCTCTCTCTCTCTCGCTATGTCTTTTACTTTTCTCAATTAAGATGGGGTCCCCGTGGGGGGGGGGCTAGCATATGTATATATATATATACATATATATATATATGTACAGATGTACAGACACGTACTCACATCGAAACACGCGCACATCTTTATCTACATCCACATTTGTGTACATATATCCGTATGCACGTACATCGCTATCTGTATCACAGATATGGGGATCCTACATGCGCACATGCTTATTCATCAGAGTGAGAGGGCCAAACGGTCATTCACTGTTTCTGGGTGCGTGGCTGACATGGGACTCCGTGGGCAAGATTGTTGCTCTTGTTGTTGTTGCTGTTGTTGTTTTTGATGCTGCATTCAGATGTCTAAAGAATTATATTGTTGATCCCCCCTCCAGTAGCCACTCCATCCTTGCAATTCAAATATTTATCCCGAGGCTCGCACCTTCCTTTTTTACAAAGAAAAGAGATGTGCCACCAAACTATATCTTTGCCACCTGGTTTACAACAACAGCGCCTCCCGCCTGATACATCTTCACAGTTTACTCTCACGTCGCACCCTCGCGCGGGATTTTCTCACAATTCATGCACGAATCGCGCTATCGCGTGGGACTTCCTCGCAATTCATTCAGTCGCCGTGCCCTCGGCACTCAGGAATCACGCTCCCGCTGTGGATTCTTCATGACTTCCTCAGAAATCGCGCTATCGCTCGAGACTTCCTGGCGATTCACGCAAAACGCACGCTTCAACAACCCGCCTGCTCGACCTGACCGCATGGGCCCGCCTTCAGACCCGCCCGTTAGGGTCTATCCGGCCGATCTGCCCGTCAGGTTTTGTCACGTGCTTTCTGCTCGTAGCCACCCTCCTGCTACGCTCTCTCCTGCTCCATACTCCTCCCCCCTCCTTGTCTCTTTCTTCCATTCGTCCCCTCTTCCCCTGCCTTAGGGGCTGCACGAAATACACGCTGCAAGCAAGACATATACGCCCCCCAAAGAGGTACGATCGAAGATGAAAGGGGCGGGGATCGAGGGTTTGGGAAATACGAGTTGACTGGCACGCGAGCTGATGAGAACGAATAATCTTAAGATTATTGTTGTTGTTGTCGTCGTCGTTGTCCTCGTTGTTGTTGTCAGCGTCCTCGCCCGCGCATTCCCGCGACCCACCCGCGACCCACCCCACGACCCGCCTGCGACCCGCCCGCGACCCACCCCGCGATCCACCCCTCGCTCGCCCCCTCATTCTTATCCGCAACTGCGGGGTGCTACGTAAACCTACGACCTACATACATACATATCATCTACATGCATCTGGAGTCCCGAAACGGTGCGGTGACAGACCGTGCGGTGACTTCGAAATCCCCCCAAACCTCACCGCACGGTCCGTCAGCGCACGGTTTTGGGACCTCGGATGCCCCAATCGCCCGAGACGTCCTCGGAGAACGACCCGAGTCCCAAAACCGTGTGGTGACCCCGAATCCCCACCGACTCATCACACGGTGCGGTCACCACCCCGCTTTGGGGCCCCCGAATGTATCTACGGGCGGCCACGGCATCCCCGGGATACCCACCCAACGCACGATGCGGCAACAGCGCGGCAACGAGGCGGCGTCGGGCGGCACCGCGGCGAATCCTCGGGACACCCGCCCAGCGCACAAAGCGGCAACGAGGCTGCAACGGCGCGGCAACGAGGCGGCAACTTGGCGACACCTCGACGTACCCCCAATGCGCGACTGGCGGCAGCGAGGCGACAATGTGGCGAAACCGCCTCCGAGTCCTCCAAGCGCGGTGGGTGGCAACGGGGCAGCACAGGGCGGCAACGTGGCAGAACTTCGGCGGAGGCGGCAACGTGGCGAAACCTCGGCGGACCCCCCAAGCGCGGTGGGCGGCAACGAGACGGCAGCGTGACGAAACCTCAGCGGACCCCCGAAGCACGGTGGGCGGAAACGAGGCGGCAACGTTCGGCAACGTGGCGAAACGACGGCGGATCCCCCAAGCGCGGTGGGCGGCAACAACGGGCGGCAACGTGGCGAAATCTCGGCGGACGCCCCAAGCGCGGTGGGCGGCAACGTGGCATCATCTGGCGGCAACGTGGCGAAAACTCGGCGGACTCATCCACTCCCGTAACACCCGAAATGCTGACGCCTAAATGCAAACACTGTTTGGGGAAAAAGCAGGGTGCAAGACCGGGGGGGGAAATCCAGATGAACGACACAATGAGCACTGGTAAGGGGGGACCAACACGAGTTATCCTTCAAAGTGAAAGTTCAACAAGGAGTGTTTTAAACTGGCAGACGCCTCGAAGAGCGCAGTCCTCAGTACTCGGTAAGAAACCCTTATGGTGAACCATATTTGGGGCAGGAATGCCCCTCTGCGTGCTCCCTCCTCCCTCTCGATGGGAGGACGCCAACTATACACTTACACCGATCCAGGAGAGTGTATGCACTATACTACGACCCAGGATAGCCCTGACCAGGCATGGTGGTGTGTAAGTGCTCTTTGCGGAACTTTCCCCCCCTCGTCCTCCTCTTTTTCATTCTCCTCTGTTCCTTCGTCCTCCCACTCCGCACCCCTCATACTGCGCACCCCCCTCAATGAACGAGAATCATTTTTTCGCTCTTCCACCTTATCCCCCCTCTTTGCCTCCTCCTCCTTCTTTCACGTTCTATTGCTCCTTCTCCTCCTCCTCCTCCTCCTCCACCTCCTCCCACTCCTCCTCCCCTACGCGTCCCCAAGACCCAAGACTGACATTAAGACGGGCCCAGAGTGGGATCCTCTACAAACGGAACCACCAACAACTCAAACTTTTGATAACTCTCCACGGCGGAACCTGGTGTGATTCTGTGCCCGCCGGTGTCTGGCAGATTGGCTGGAGGATGGGGCTGGGCGAAAGGAGGGGATAGCAAAGGGGGGGGGGAGAATCAGCTCGCGTAGCTGATTTTCCCGGCGCCTCCCGGCGCCGGGAGGCGGCCATGTATCCAGGAGTGGGCCCCTCGGTGAGGCCGACACCAGCTGCACGCAGAAGATTTCGCACCCCCCCCTGTCCCTATCCCCCCCTTTCGTCCGGCCAGAGAGGGGGAGGGGGAGGAGAAAACAGCTCCGAGAACGCACTCGGGGCCGCTCGGCACCCGAGACCGCACCCGACACCCCACCACCGGAGCCCCCGCCGTCCGCACCGGCAACTGCAGCACTGGGCAGCACGGCGTGGGCGTCCCGCAAGGCGGGCGGCAGGATCCGTGCGCATCCGCCGCCCCAGGCCTGGCCCATCCTGGGCTCAGGGAGCGGCGCAGGTGCAGGACGGCGCCAGAGACGAGGATCACATCTCGGGCGAGGGTGCAGCGAGCATCTCCTAGATCTGGTGGCTCTGGAGGATGTCTCGAGCGCCGCTGCCTTCTCAGAGCGTTCTGGAACGCTCCGAGAGCGCTCCAGAGCGCTCTGGAACGGATTTATCCTCGTCGTAGCCCGGCCCGAAAGGTGCCTGGCCAAGCCAGGAGGGCAAATACACCGCTCATGGGCGCGGGCTGGGCCAGGCCTGGGGCAATGGCTGTGTGAGGATCCCGCCGCCCTACGCTTAGGTAGGGCGTGTCCTCCTACAGGCGGATTTTGGACGAAAGATAAAACATAGTCGACAAATAACCAAAAACAAGAACCCCAAAATGCTGAAAAATCGTCCCCAGACTATTTTTCCGCTATTCTTGAATATGTCTCCTGTAGAAGGACACGCCCGAGGTAACCCTACGCAGGCGCACCCGCGCCCGCAACAGTGGGGAACACGTTTGGGCCGGCCCAAAAGCGTGCCACTGAGGCGGCACGCTCTGGGGCCGGCCGCGGGCATGCCCGCATCCGCCCCGCGCACCCAGGCGTCGGGGGCGCGCAAACATGGATTAGCGATCCATAGATTTGGCGCGCGGTCGCCAAATCCATGGATCGGGGGAGGCGCTTTCCCCAAAATGCGGCCGGTGCCGCCTCGCTCGGCGGCGGGAATGCGCGGGTCCCGTCGCTAATCCACACCCCCTTAATCCATGTTTGCGATCGCCTGAGTGGATGCCCGCGCTCACGAGCGACGAACAGATCCATATCCTTAGGTAGGTCATGTCCCCCTACAGGCAGATGTTGGACGGAACGTACAAAATAGTCAACACATCTATTCCACAACTACTCTAAACTAGTCAAAACATCGTCCCCAGGCTATATTTCGTTTACTATTTTTGAGTATTCCTCCTGTAGAGGGACAGGCCCGACTTAACCATATCCGCGCCCTCTCGGTCTGGACTCCCGGACGCGATCCCACGGATACGCGGTCGACCGCATAGGTTCCGCGGGGGGCATCCGCGAAAAGAAAGCCCCGTGTCCGCTGGGTCGCTGCCCAGGGGCCCGGCCCGCGAGGCCGCGGGAACGGATACTTTTCGCTAGCGACGCGCTGCAGAACTCCCTCCCCGAACAACCTCGTGGTGCAAGCCCTGCGGCTTGTGTGGCGGACTCTGGACGAGGAGGAGAAGACAAGGAAGGAAGAGGGCCCTCTTGAAGATTATCGGGGCAATTCTTTGGGCCATCGTGCCGCCGTTTTGGACCTTATCGGTCTCGTGGAACGCTCGTGGACCCTATTTGTCTCTTAGAACGCCTAATTCGGGCCGCTCTTGCACCATCTCGGGGCCGCATTAGGCCGCGAGGCCCTGTAGAGGCTTTCTTTGGCCTCGCCTGGTGGTGCACATAACGGATGAAACCGTTTTACATATTTGTTTAACATAAATACTGCAATTATCTCAACATCGGCGTAGTATTCGACCATGGCCAGCCTACAACAGCAGCGCGACCCCAAGTCTAGACGCTTTGACAATTTCGCACCATGTGAACCAGAAGTGCTGTGGAGCCCTCTTCCAAACCCTCGAGAGCAGCACCGCGTCGCAGCCGTCCAGCGAGGCCGAGACCGCCAAGGACCCGTCGATTGAGAAGGAGGCGAACACGACGGAGCCACTGTGGCCGCTGAGCGTCCGCAGAACCAGCCTCGCATGAAGGCAGGGACCGAGGCAACGGAATTTTGCAAGACACGAACTGTGTATTCGAAAATGTGTTCGGTGCCGTTGCACCAGGGCTGCGGCTTCCGTGTTGCGCATTCGTGTCGCGCACGTGCATGTTTACCAATGTTGCGCGTCATGCGCGCATCTGAAAACATGCGAATCCGTCACGCCTCCTTCGTTTGTTTATGCATGCCTCCCTGCGTGCACGCCATGCTTGCCTCCTTGCTCACACGTGTCACTTTTATGTACCCCTGCCTGCTTTATTGTCCGTGCAAGCCGCAGCTGCGTCACTGCGTGATGTACACGAACTCGTGCTGGGACAAGGGAAATGAAAGGCAACGTTTTGGGGGGCAGGTCAAGGGGGGAAACGTCGACCTGGAATCGGCGATGCACGGAGAGACCCCCGATAACACTTCCGCACGGTCCTGTGCAACGCGAGTTATCGGGCCCCTGCTGGCGACGACTGGGCGATTAGGGGTCGATGCCATCCCCCTCTGAACCTATCCCCCCCAGCGCCGAGCAAGGGCCGACCGCCCTGGAGGCTCACCGCGATTTTATCCTATGGTAATCTATTCGCCGTAACAATTACTCCGGCCGAAACACCTCTTATGAAACTGCCCAAACTGATCTGGAAGTGCTCCACGTCGTCTTTGCGAGGCATTATATATGATTTCGCGTCGCCGTTTCCCCTTTTTCATCTGAGCGAAGCTCTTCTTGCTCCATGTTCTGCCTCCTCGCCCTCTTGGCCCCAGTCTTTCATCTACCTCGTCCCCCACCTCTTTTGCAAGGGCGCGCGAATCGTTTTTTTTGTTTCCCCCGTCGCCGCCTCTGCCAGCGAGCGCGCGCCCCCCGATGGCTGGATCGCGGAGCCGTCGGGGCAACGCCGCGGGCTCGGCCGTTGGGCAACCCCGCGAGCCGCTGGGGCGCGGAAGCAACCCGTTTGGGACGTGCCCGCAGGTCTCGAAGGAGTCGTGGCCGCTCTCGGGCGGGAGGCAGCGCGGAGCCGAACTCTGCCGCGAACGCCTCCGCCTCAACCTTGGAAGTGCCCTCCCTCTCGTCGAATTCCCTGACCTCCCTCCGCAAGGATCAACATGTTCCGCATGCGCGTGGCGCAGGAGAACGTGGCGTAGAGGTGCCACAGCCACTGCGCGTCCAACGTGCACGTGCGACCAGATTTCTTATCCGTGGCGCAGTAGACGATGACGGCGTTGCGCAGCGTCTGGCCCTGCGACGGCGTGGTGGTCAGATAGGACACGTGCGTCAGGGTGGGCCCCGAATGCCGCGCGACGTGCGGCCCCGAGATCCGCCACGTGAGCTCCTGCTCGCTGGGCCTGAACATGATCACCCACCTCGCCCGCGCGTCGGCCTCGCCGTCGTTGTCAGCGCCTTCGGCGCCCTGTAGCAGCAACTCGGCGACCTCCTGGTATATCGGGGACTCCTTGAAACCGTGCGCTTGCACCCAGATTTCCTTGCGGTAGGAAGCGGGGGCGGAATAACTGGTCCGACCTGCACTCCTCGAGTTCCTGCTCGTCGTCTGGGTGGAACTCGATGGACAATTCCGCGATTCACTCACAGACGAAGCTCCCGTTCCAGACTTCCGCCATATTCCGGCCTGAGGAGCCCAGCAATGACGACAATTACACATTGTCCGATGACCCGCTCAGATTGACAACGCGAGCTGCGGGCCCCATAGGAAAGGGGCCTCCGCTTGAGACTTCCTCGCAAATCATTCACACACGGCCCCCCCGCTGGAGTCATCGTTACGATTCGCCCCTTCGGGGTGCTCAACTACTATGCCTGGTGAAATCCCACTAGCCCACTGGGCAACAGGTGGTCTAACGATGTCTTTCTTTCTTCTTCCATAATCCCTTATTCCTTTTCCAGGTCCGGGGCGCCCTGCAATGTGTCAGAGGGTCCTTTTTCGCACAAGATGGCTCCAATAGGGCCTCAGAGAGCCCAAGATGGCCTCCAAGATCGCTCAAGATAGCCCAACATGGCTCAAGCCAGCTTCCGACATGCCTCCAAAACGCCCCAAGAAGGCCACAAAACGGTTCCAGGTGCTCTCGGAGACCCCTCAGGACCCCTTCCAAGAGCCTAAAATCAGTAAACAAGCTAAGGGAACTCAATGATTTTTACCTTCTCGCCGTTTCGCTTCCGATTCGCTTTGGGGGCCTCAAGATGGCCCCAGGATGGCCCAAGAAGGCTCCAAGAGGGGCCCAAGAGGGGCCTAAGAGGCCCCCAAGACGGCCCCAGAGATGGCCCGAAGAGGCCTTCCAAGGCCACCCCCTTGCTCCCAAAGATCTCTCGGTTCACCCTGGTTGCTCGCTTTGTTTCCCTAGATGTGTCTCTTCGTCCCTTTTCCCGTCAGCTCTCATGGGCGGAGCTTCTGAATGGGCTGGTGGGGATACTTTTTTAGTCAGCGGCCGCGGGCGAGCGCGCCGGCGGCGTGTCAAATCAAAGCGGGCTGGCTGGTAGGGATACGCGACCGTGAAGAATTTTCCGATGACCCGCTCGGAATACCAACGTGAAGTGCGGGCCCCATAGGGAGGGGGCTCCCGCCTGAGACTTCCTCGCAAATCGCTCACAGGCGAGGCCGCTGCTTGAGACATCGTCACGATTTGCCCACTTGGGGTGCTCACGTGTTAGGCCTGGTACGTTTTCTGATGACCCGCCCGGAATACCAACATGCAACGCGGGCCCCATAGGGAGGGGACTGCGGCCTAAGACTTCCTCGCAAGTCATTCACAAACGAGGCCCCCACTAGGGACGTCACGATTTGCCTCCTTGGGGCGCTCAAGTGCGATGCGTGGTGAAAATTTCAAATCGCCCGCTCGAATAACCAACATGAAACGCGGGACCCGTAGGGAGGGGTGCCCGCTCTCCAACTCTGCCAGGAGAGCTCTCTCTATCTCTCTCTCTCTCTCTGTCTGTCTGCCTTTGTGTCTGTGTCTCTCCGTCTCTCTATCTTTTTGTTGTCTCTCTCTCTCTCTCTCTGGTCTCTCTAGTCTGTGTGTGTCGCTCTCTCTTCTCTCGCTCGCTCGTTCTCTCTCTCTCTCTCTCTGTCTCTCTCCAATATCCTTGTCTCACTTGTCCATCTCTCATTTTTCGCCTGGCTCTTTCTTAACATCCTGCTCCCTCCGCCTTCCTGTTTTTGCCATCCTACTCCCCCGTCATTCACCTCTAATATTCCCGTCACGTCCCTCCTCGATGATCCACCATATATCCCCATTCCACCCCTCCTATTATCAGTCCACCTCTCCTCCTTCAGCTGCGTCGGCTCATCCTCGTTATCGCGCCCCTCCTCCGCCTCTTCCCCCCCCCTCGCATCCCTGGCCTGCCCCTCCCTCATTCTCTCCCTCCCCCCTTGCCCTGTCCTCATCCTCACCGCTCTCCCCCCCCTCTCCGCTACTATACTCCCCCCCCTCCCCCTCCCATTCCCCAGGGGCCTCCTCCCTCCTCTTCCGCCCTCCTTCCTGCGGCTGCTCGCGCCTCCGCGGAGGGGAGATCGAGAGGGAGGGGAGGGAAGGGAGGGGCAGGGGGTGGAGGGGGGGACGAATAGGCAGGGAGGGGGAAGAGGGCAGCGAGGAAGGCGCGTGGGTGTGGAGGAGGGGCAGGAAGAAGAGGATGCTCAGAGGGGGGAGGAGGGGGGGAGAGGGATGAGGAGGGGACGGAGGAGGGGCAGGACGAAGAGGAGGACGGAAGGGGGAGGAGGAGCCCCCCCCCTCCCCGCCCTCGGGCGGGCGAAGGCCCGCTGCCCGCGTCCCACAGCCGGGCGGAGTGGTCCCGCGACGCCGTGAGCACCAGGTCACCCAGCGGCGGCCTGAAGGCCACGTCCTGGACCTGGGGGGGAGGCCCAGACGGAGGGAGGGACGGATTTCAGCACAGGCCGACTTCCCTGGCATTCCGATCGGCCTACCACGAATCAATGTTCCTATAACCAATAAGCGTTCTATACCTATACCTAGAGCGAATCAATGTTTCTATAACCAAAGCAGCGTTCTTCGATCACAAAACCGATTGGTTCAACGAATGGGGGTCTCAGCCAAACACGTTCGAAGAACATGTCGTGGAAACTAACCACGAACGATTCTTATGACATTCTTTGGTGGGCCCATTGGCACGCTAAGGCGCTTCGGCACTGCTTGAACAAAAAAAGGAGAACAGGTTGGGAGGCATCTCCTGGGAGGTCATTGTAAGAATGATTGCGGGCCGCTGAATCACATTGGGGGGTCAAGGCGCCAAATTAACCCAAATCCGCCGACCCCACTGTGGGTCGCTAGCGTGTGCTGTTCTCCTCCAGTACCCCCCCTGGGGACCCCAAGCCGGCAATTCGACCCCCCCCCCATGACTTCCCCCCGGCCTTTGGGTGAACGCACCCGGGGGGGTCCGACCCTCCTCGGGCTCGCTCTGGAGCTCCAAGACACTGCGGCATCTCAAACAACTCCCGAAACGTTCCAAAAAAAAAAACCCAAAACCGCCGAAACAGCATTCCAAGACTCCGAAATTGCCTCGAAACGCCCCAAAAAGCCGCCCACAACTGTCTTAAGAAAACCCCAGGAAACAACAACAACCGCACTTGTTTAGAAAGATGTGCGCCCTTACGCGGCCCGAGAGGCCGCCGGAACGGCGCCCAAAACGCCCAAGAGGGCCTCAAGACCGTCCAAAAGACTTCCAACACGGCCCAAGACGCCCCCCATATGGCTCCGAAAAGGACCCCCAAAAACCCCAACATCGCCCCCAGGACGCTGAAAAAACGTGTTGCTGCAGCCCCAAGCAACGCGACACCCCCAAGCAACGCAACGCGCGTTCCAGGGGTGCCCGAACCGTTCAGGACGGCAACCAGAGGTCTGAGTCTAAACCTGCATACCCGATCCTCGTTGTGCCTCTTCAATTTCCTCTCTGGCGTCCTTTTCCGTCAAACCCGTTATTTCCTTTTCTTTGTTTCTCAGCTCCTGTTCCCTCCGCCGTGCGGGAATGCGACTCTGAACGGGTGGGTGCGCGGAAATGAAGGCAACGCTGCAGCAAGAAAACGATTCGGAACTTGCGACACCCGCGTGGCCGCGCGCATTCGCGCGCTAGAACTAGTGCGCGCCCCCCGCGCGGCCGCGCGCATTCGCGCGCTACCGCTGGCGCCCCCGCTGGTTTCACGCGCGCGCCTTTCACTTCAACGTTCGTGTTTCGTGGGGACGCGCGAAATTCGGTCCAGCCTTGATACTGGACTTCGGGAGTTTTGTCTTGCAGGCGCCGAAGCATTGGCACGCTTGCCAATTCCGAGCCGCGGGCCCGACGGCAGTGCACTCCGCGCGTGCAACTTTGATCTTTCTCGAGAAACACTGAACTACTCACTCTTTTGTTTGTCGCTTATGTGGTCCTGTCGAAGGAACTCCCTCTCGCGCGCTGCGCACTTCAGCTTTCGCTTCAACTGCTTTGCTGCATCGGCCGCGTCCTTCGCGGCGACGCCCCGCTTCGAGCAATCCGCGCACGCCGCTCGTTTGTTTAAGTCTTCCTGGCGGCGCTCCTTTCGTTTAGCGGACAAATGCCCAACGTCCCAGATAATTGCCCCGCAACCAGGAGCGCGGCAAGTCGACGATTTGGCGTCTGCCACTGCTTTGCGTCAACCTCTAAAACGTCAACTTCTGAAGCTCCGCCGCGCATTTCCGACGCAGTCTCCCCTCGACTGCGGAGAGTCTCTTTTGCGCTTCCGACAACCCCACCTTCTCGTCGAAAAACGATGGGCACCTTTTGTGCTGGCACCGCGCCGTGCAGACGCTCTCCCCCCTCTTGGCGTTCCCGCCGCGCGACTTTGTTTCGCCTTGGCATTCGTGCACTTCGCGCAACGCAAGGTCTTAAATCGTCCTTTTCGTCTCCTCCGGTTCGCAACCTTCCGCGACGCCCTCATCGCCGCCTTGCCGCGCGAGTTCAATGCCCTTCGCTGTCGTTGCCCATGTTTTACATGTCTTGTCTGCGTTTTTCATCTCCGCTGCGCACTCTTTGCAAAACGCCTGCCTTTCCTTCCTCTGGAACTCGTACTTCGTGAACACCTCTACCAGCAACCTACGCAGGCACCGCTCGCACTGGTCCCGTGGCATTGGTTCTGCCTCCAACTTATCCCAATCCACGCTCTCCCCCCGGAGCACCTGCAACAACTTTTCCTTCCAGCCATCTCACCTTCGTTGTACGGCTTCCTATCATTAGGCGAGCAAATCAAAAGGTTCTCTCGCTTGCGCATGCGCGTGATGGCAACGCAACTTGACATCCAACTCACGCCGCGCCCTCTTGCAAAGTTCGCTATCGCTGCCCCGTGGTCCGGCCGCGAAAAAAATCACGGCGGGGTTTTTGGCCGTTGTCGGCCTCCAACGGCCGTCAACGGGCCCCGGGACCGTCAAAGACCGGCGTGGGATGAAGAACCGGTCCCGGGAGAAGAGTCCACCGCTGGAGCCCGACGCTGCGAAAAAACAAACGTCGTCGGATGTCTGGGAAGAGCGCGACGCGAGGACCTGTGTCGCGCCGACCCCCTGTGGGTTTGTAGGCGTGTGGGACTCTTCCCCCTCATGTGGGGGGAGACCCCACAAAAAACCCAACATGCCCCAAGGAAGCCTCGAAGGCCCACAGAGGCTCCAAGAATCCCCAAAGATTCTCACAAACCCAGAAAGTGCGCCAACACGACCTCCACGAGCCTTCACAAGTACTTCCAACCAACCTCCGACAACCTCAGGAAACGGTCCTGAAGAAATGGTTGAGGATCTGACCCCCGAAGGATACTCCACCAAACGAACCATTTCGGCGTGCTCGTAAAACTTGTCCTTACGAGAGCGAGCGACAATCATGAACAAGGGGTCGGCGGATGTAGCGTAACCCTGAAGAGCCAGAACTCAGCCGGAACAGGTGGAATCATGGGACACCATGCGGGATTACTATGGATTGGACACGTTTTCGACCACGGATATATCAGCGCCGATGCTGAAGTCGACCTCCCAGGAGCTGCATCCGATGGGCGAGAAAGACGAAGACGGGGGAGAGAGGGAAGATGGCGAAGATGAACGCAACGATAATGGGTGGGAGAAGCTCCCCCTGAAACCGGAAAGATGAGATGGAGAGGCCGGCAATAGGAGGCTGGCCGAACTCTAGAAGCCATGGGGGTCCTCCCAAAGCGCGGGTGGGCAAAGAGTTGAAGGAGGAATGGGCAATACATCATATTGCAAACTATTAGAGCAGATGGCTCAACTACCGCAAGGATGGAGGCTTTGTGAGATGATGGTGATCGCGGCAGGTGGGTGTTGACCAAAATGATAACAGAACGTCGAGCTCAAATATTTGAGGGTGACGACATATATGCGATCGGTGTCGGCGGTTAGTGCAATCACAATTGTACATATATTACCTATGGGAATGTGGTCAGGGAGCGGAGCCGTACATCAAGTCAAACGAGTTGGTAGGTGACGCGCAGGCACAAGTAAACACATGCGAGGCTTTCTGGCTACGTGGGCTGCTACCCAAGAGCTGGACGGGTGTGCCAGCACCTTCGCCCCAAGATGATTGTGTCCACAAGACCAGAACTTGCGCAAGTAGCATGGGGTGACGGATCGCAGGACGAACGCATGCAGATTTTTGGAGATGCGAGCGGAGGCGCAGACTCAAGCTGCACCAACGTAAGAAGGGTGGGCTTGAATATTGCATGGTGCCCCTAATTCTTTCCAGAAGTGGAGGTACGTGCATGTGAATATGGACCCCTAGCTGGCGATCGGCAGGTGGCTGCACGCGGCGGACTGAAAGCTCTGTGTCATGACACTGTATGTGGCAACATATTGGTTAATATACATGTCAGACTGTGAGTTTGTGGTTGATTGGTGGTACCATGTATATAAAGACCCAATTGGAGCAGATGCAGAAGGCGGTGGGGGCGGTGTAACGCCGAAAAGAAGTGGTCAAGGCGGAAAAGGGCGGGGTAGAAACGGCACTGGACGAGGGGCGGTGCGAAGCCGAAATTCGCCGGCCCAACGGGCCAGAGGCGTGCTAAGATCTCCGGTAACTGGTTAACAATTGTATTGTACTAGTTCGCGCGCGCGGGGCGGCCCCTGGGGGTCCCCCGGCGAAAAGTACCCCGCCCGCCGCCTGGGAAGGTCCCGCCCGGTTCAACTCAGAGATGGTTTTCCTTCTGGGTGCGGCCTCTCAGGCCGCCCTGAGCGCGCCAAGAGTGCCCCAAGAGGCCCCCAAGATTGCTCAAGAGGCCCCCGAGACGCCCAAAGAGCGCTCGAAGACGCCGAAGATGACCCCAAGACGGCCCAAAAGGCCCCCAAGACAGCCCAAGAGGCCTCCAAGACGCCCCAAGAGCCTTCCAAGAGGCCTCCGAAGAGAGCCCCAAGAGGCCAAAATCGTTGATTTTCATTGGTTTTTTCGATGTTTTTTGTGTTCTGGCTTTTTCGGCTTCCGGACGCTCCAAGACGGCCCAAGAGGCCCCCAAGACCGCTCCAAGACGGCCCACGAAGCTCCCAAGACGGCGCCGAAACGACCCAAGAGAGCCCTCAAGACGGCCCAAGTGCCGCCCAAGACGGACCAAGAGGCCCCAAGACGGGCCCAAGAGGGACTCAGGAGGGATACCGAGAACTCAAAAATGGAGCCCTCCGTCCCAGAAGGCGCCCAGGAGGTCCCAAAGAGGCCCCAAGAGGCCTCCAAGAGGCCCCAAGATGTCGCCAAGAGGCCCCAGGAGACTCCCAGGAGGCCCAAAAGAAGCCCCAGAAGGCTTCAAACATGTCTCCCAGGCGCCCCCGAACGGCCTCTCAACAGACCCCAAGAGGCCCCCCAAAGAAGCATCTTGACGACGACTCTATTTCGCCCCATCGAGAGACGACCCCCAGGGAACTGCTTCACCATCAAAACTCCCCACGCAACGCGTCCGAACGACACCCGCCCCCAAGAGCGCAACATGGGCAACGAACACACAGACAAAAACCAGCGATGCCATATCACGGGCCAGCGGAATGAGCGAAGCGATTCAATAAACTGGTCGGGGCGGAGAGGGTCACTCTGATAGTGGTGGTGGTTGGGTGGGTGGGTGGGCGGGAGGGGCGGGGTGGTGGGGGCGGTGCGACGCCGAAATAAAATGCTCGGGGCGGAAGGGGGCGGGTTGCAGAAGGCACTGGGCAGCTGGGGAGGGGGGAAGGGTCGGGGGGGCGGGAATGTGGGGGCGGTGCGACGCCAAAATGAAACGGTCGGGGCGGAAGGGGGCGGGGTGCACTGGGCGGGTGGGGAGGGGGGAAAGGGTCGTGGGGGCGGGCGGGACGGTGGGGGCGGTGCGACGCCGAAAGAAAGTGGTTGGGGCGGAGGGGGGCGGGGTCGAAACGGCACCAGACGGGGGGCGGTGCGACGACGAAATGAAATGGTCGGAGCGGAGGGGGGCGGGGTGCAGAGGGCACTGGGCGGCTGTGGGAGGGGGTAAGGGGGGCGGGGTGGAGAGGGCACTGAGCAAGGGGCGGTGTCACGCTGGTGGTTGTGCATAAGCGGTCGGGGCGGTGCGACGCCGAAATACAATGGTCGGAGCTCTAGACACCCTGTGCAAGAGGATCAAATGGTCGGAGCTCTAGACACCCTGTGCAAGGTAACAAACCGTGAGGAGATCCACAGCGAGAGCGTGTTTGCTGAGTTTCGAGGGCGCGGCTTCTGAATACATTGTGAGGAGCTCCCACGCGAGAGCGCGATTACATTATAAATTGTGATGAGAAGCCCAGCGCGAGAGCGCGACTTTCATATACATTGTGAGGAAGTATCATGTGGGAGCTGTTGCTGTAGCTGTAAACCAGGGGCCAAAAACCCAATTGGGTGACACCTCACTGTCCGTTATTAAAAACAGGATGCGAGCCCCGGGATATGCACTTCAATTGAAATATGCAATGTTTACCAAGCAGGGGAGATCAACCATATTTTTGTAGATAAACATAATTATTTAACAACGAAGCAACAACACCAACATCACCACCGCCGCCGCCACCACCACCACCAACAACAACAAACACAACAACCCGGAGCTTTAGACACCCTGTGCAAGAGGATCAAGTGGTCGGAGCTCTAGACACCCTGTGCAAGGTAACAAAAGGTGAGGAGATCCACAGCGAGAGCGTGTTTGCTGAGTTTCGAGGGCGCGGCTTCTGAATACATTGTGAGGAGCTCCCACGCGAGAGCGCGATTACATTATAAATTGTGATGAGAAGCCCAGCGCGAGAGCGCGACTTTCATATACATTGTGAGGAAGTATCATGTGGGAGCTGTTGCTGTAGTTGTAAACCAGGGGCCAAACACCCAATTGGGTGACACCTCACTGTCCCTGATAGAAAACAGGATGCGAGCCCCGGGATATGCACTTCAATTGAAATATGCAATGTTTACCAAGCAGGGGAGATCAACCATATTTTTGTAGATAAACATAATTATTCAACAACGAAACGACACCAACATCACCACCACCGCCGCCACCACCACCACCACCAACAACAACAACAACAACAACAAACACAACAACCGCAACAACAACATCAACAACAACAACAGCAACCTCTATCTCCTCCTCCTCCTCCGCCTCCTCCATCCCTTCCTCCTCCTCCGCCTTTCCCATCCCCTCCCCCTCCTCGTTTCCTCCGCCTCCTCCATCCCCACCCCCTCCTCGTTTCCTCCTCCTCCTCCTCCTCCTCCTCCAACCCCTCCTCTTCCCCCTCTTCTCCACGTTCTCCCCCCTCTCCTCTCCCTTACGAGCTCGGCCTCAAGACCTCTCTGGAGGTACTCCCCAACCTCGGCGACGAGAGGCGCTTCAGAAACCCAACCATTCAGCGCAAGCGCCTAAACCCTTCGAAACTCGAGAATCGACCTTCGCACCTCCGCGCACCATCGGTCCCAAGATCCACCCAAATCGTTTGGTTGTTTTCGTTCCATGCAGATACTTGACAACCTTGGAGCCCGAAACGGACCCCGAGAAACAGCGATCAAGGGTAATGACCCCGCGCTATATTCGATCCTCCTGCTCATCCTTGCACCCCTTTCCCTCCTCCGCTCCTCCACAGGCCTGGTCGGAGTGGCCCGCGAGCACCCGCAAGCACTCGCCGCTCTCCACGACGCTCCAAATTCTGGCGCTCCCGTCCGCGGATCCTCCCGTGCGAGGGGGTTGCCAGCGAGCCGGGTGAAGGCGGGTCGTGGCACCGGCATTGAGGCGGCCCTCGTGCCAGACACATGATCGATTGACCGGATGGCCCGTGGGACAAGGCGACGCGCGCGTCTTGTTTTCCGAGGAGGAGGGGGAGGAGGAGGAGGAGGAGGAGGAGGAGGAGGAGGAGGAGGAGGAGGAGGAGGAGGAGGAGGAGGAGGCGGGGCACCGTGGGACCGAGCGCAGCCAGTCGAAACGAGGAGGGGCGCCCCGCCGTGAGCCCGCAGCTTGCTGCGTGGCGCTGGGCCCGCCAGGCATGGACAGAAACGGGAGTTCACCATGGAGAAAACCCAGACGCGAGAATAAAGAATCGAGGTTCGAGCCTTTTGGGGCCTCCTGGGCGTTCCTCGTTGCCACGGCAAGACGCCAAGCGAAACGCACGATCGGCCGACGTGCCTGTAAAGGAATAGAAAACACATGAGGGAGCGCGTTTCGCGGGCGCTCGCTTTGGGAACATCCGGCGGTGCGTTTCAACTGGAGGGGGGGATGTTCGGCGCCGTCGAACAGAACCAGGGGGACTTCCCTTCCTCCTCCCCCCCCCCTCCCTGAACCCCTCCTCCAAGGAGGGGGGGTCGGCCCCCTTTTCCCTCCCAGCGCGAGGGGGGGGGGTCGAACCACCTTCCCACCCCGGCGCTGGCGCTGGCGCGCCGTCGCCAGCGCCGGCGGCGGCTGGCGCCGGCGGCGGCTGGCAGCGCCGACGGCGGCGATGCGGCGACGATGACCAGGACGAAGAAGACAACGACAAGGTCCCTGATAGTTCTCTGTCATCGGCCCTGAGTGTCGAAACGTTGACGGGCCTGGACTCCTGGACTCCACATACAAATATTATTCGCGTTGCGTCGCGTGCCTCACGCACTTTCCGTCGTCGTGGTCGTGCTCGAAATCGTAGTGGTCGCTGTCGTCGTCGTCGTCGACGCCGTCGTCGCCGTCGTCGGTGCCGTCGTCGTCGTCGCCGCCGAGGTCGCCGTCGGCGTATTCGTTGTCGTAGACGTCGTCGTCGCCGTCGCCACGGTCGTCCTCGACGTGATTAACGTCGTCGTCGTCGTCGTTCGTCGTCGCCGTGGTCGTCGCCGTCGTCGTCGTCGCCATCGTCGCTGTCGTCGTCGTCGTCGCCATCGTCGCCGTCGTCGCCGTCGTCGTCGTCGCGCTCGTCGTCGCCGTCGTCGTCGTCGTCGCCGCTGTCGTCGTCGCCCACGTCGCCGTCGCCGTCGTCATCGTCGTCGCCGTCCTCGTCGTTGTCGTCGTTGTCGTCGTCGTCGTCGTCACCGTCGTCGTGGTCGTCGTCGTTGTCGTCGTCGCCGCCGTCGCCGTCGTCGTCGTCGTCGTCGTCGTCGTCATCGTCATCTTCGGCGTCATCGTCACCGTCGTCGTCGCCGTCGTCGTTGCCGTCGTCGTCGTCGTCGTGCTCGTCGTTGCCGTCGTCGCCGTTGGCGTCGTCGCCGCCGTCGTCGTCGTCGTCACTGCCGTCGTCGTCGTCGTCGTCGTCGTCGTTGTCGCCGTCGTCGTCATTACCGCAGTCGTCGTCGTCATGGTCGTCGTCGTTGTCGCCTTCGTTGTCGCCTTCGTCGTCGTCGCCGTCGTCGTCGCCGTCGTCGTCGTCACCGTCGTCGTCGTCGTCGTCGCCGCCGTCGTCGTCACCACTGTCGCCGTCGTCGCCGTCGTCGTCGCCGTGCACGTCGTCGTCGCCGTCGCCGTCGTCGCTGTCGTCCTCCTCGTACGTAGTCATCGCCGTCGTCGTCGTCGTCGTCTTCGTTGTCCTCGTCGTCTTGGCCGTCGTCGTCGTCGTCGCCGTGCTCGTGATCGCCGTCGTCATCGTCGTGCCGTCGCCGTCGTCGTCGCCGTCGCCGTCGTCGTCGCCGTCGTCGTCGTTTCGTCGCAGTCGTCGTCGTCGTCGGTGTCGTCGTCGTCGTCGCAGTCGTCGACGTCGTCGCCGTCGCCGTCGTCGTCGTCTTCGCCAAAGTTGTCGTGGTCTTCGTCGCCGTCGCCGTCGCCGAAATTGTCATCGTCGCCGTCGTCGCGGTCGCCACCGTCGTCGTCGTCGTCTCAGCTGCCGTCGTCGCCATCGTCGTCGTCGTGCTCGTCGTCGTCGTCGTCGTCGACACTATCGACGTCGTCGTCGACATCGTCGTCGCCGTCGATGCCAGTGTCGTCGTCGTCATGGTCGTCGTCGTCATTACCGAAGTCGTCGTCGTCGCCGTCGTCGTCGTCACCGTCGTCATCGTCGTCGCCGCCGCCGTCGTCGGCGCCACCGTCGTCGCCATCGCCGTCGTCGTGGTTGTCGCCGTTGTCGTCGTCGTCGCCGTCGTCGCCGCCGCCGCCGCAGCCGTCGTTGTCGTCGTCGTCGCCGTCATCGTCGCCGCCGTCGTCGCCGCCGCCGCCGCCGTCGCCGCCGTCGTCGCCGTCGTCGTCATCGCCGTCGCCGTCGCCGTCATTGTCGTCGTCGTCTTCGTCGTCGTCGTTGCCGTCGTCGTCGTCGTGCTCGTGATCGTCGTCGTCGTGTTGGTCGTCGTCGTCGTCGCTGTCGCCGTCGCCGTCGTCGTCGTTTCGTCGCAGCTGTCGCAGTCGTCGCTGTCGTCGTCGTTGTCGCCGTCGTCGTCGCCGTCGTCGCAGTCGTCGCCGTCGTCGTCGTCGCCGTCGCCGTCGTCGTCGTCACCGTCGTCGTGGTCTTCGTCACCGTCGCAGTCGCCGAAGCCGTCGTCATCGCCGTCGCCGCGGTCGCCACCGTCGTCGTCGTCGTCGTCGTCGTCTCAGCTGCCGTCGTCGCCATCGTCGTCGTCGTGCTCGTCGTCGTCGTCACCGTCGTTGTCGTCGCCGTCGTCGTCGTCGCCGTCGACACCGTCCACGTCGTCGCCGTCGTCGTTACCGATGTCGTCGTCGTCATGGTCGTCATCGTTGTCGCCTTCGTCGTCGTCGTCGTCGCCGCCGTCGTCATTGTCACAATCGTCATCGTCGTCGTCGTTGTCGTCGTGCTCGTCGCCGTCGTCGCCGTCGTCGTCGCCGTCGTCGTCGCCTTCGTCGTCGTCGTCGTTTTCGTCGCCGCCGTCGCCGGTCGTCGTCGTCGACTCAGTGGTTGAGGTGCGTCCCAGTAGTTGAGGGGTGTCCTGTGGGCGGCTCGGTAGCGCCCCAGCGTCGTGGCAGTGGCGCTCAGCGTCCTTAGCTGAGTACGACGCTTCGCTGGGTGCGCCTTCCTCGCCCTTTCTGAAGGGGTGTCTGGGGGCCTTCTGCTGCTTCTGGAACGGCTTGTCGGTGCCTCTGCTCTTCCACTGCCGCCTGGACGGCGCGACGGCTGAATTGAAATCAGTCGCGATGCGCCCTATGATGGGGTAGAGGCCCCCTGCCGCGCACTGGGCGGCCCACTTGCGGAGGAACCACTGCGTCGCCACGATCGAGGCGACGACGAACCTGGCGTTGAAGTCCTTGGGCGACCGCGAGCGTCGCGGCAAGGACGCGACCCCCGCCTGCCGCTCGCGGCTTCCGATGCGCACGTCGCCAGCGTCTCGTCACCTTAGCGAGACAACAACTCGCCTGTTCCAATAGAAAAGGCTGGTGCTCGCCCTGGGCCGCGCTCGCGGCCTGCATGGCCGTCCCGCGTCCAGCCGGATGTCGCTCCTGCCGCGGTCGCCGATCGCAAGGAACTCGCCCGTGCAGATCGACGCGAGCGACCTGTCGCACTCAGCGGCGCCCTTCGCGCGCGCGCCGACCTCGCCCACGATGGCGGGCAGATCCCCGTCGCGGGCAGGGCCTCCGCGGGGGGTTCACGGTCGAGCAATCGTCGGGCCAAAACCAGCTGCTGCGCGAGCCAGGAGACAGAGTACACCGCGTAGGAGTTGCCTAGAAGGAAGTTCCTGGTGTCGGCGACGCCGGGGGCCGCAGGGTCCTTGTGGGCGACTCTGGCGCAGTGCGTGTCGAACCCCAGAAGGGCCATTCTCTCCCCTGGGTTTGGCGCGCAAAGGGTCCCGCCCCCAGTGCTCCGAAGCATGCTGCGTTCCTCGTGACAGCCCAGATGATAGCGGTGACTGTCGAAGAGCCATCTCCTTTTCGCAGGCTCGGGGGCGGCGCGAATGCCAGCAGGCATCGTGGCCTACTTGCTGCCGGGCGCGGGGGCGCGAGCGCGGGGGCGGGCCCCTCGCCCCCCCCCCCCCCAGGTCGAGCCCGCGGTGGCCCAGTCGGGCGAGGCGGGCGGGCCGCGGATGCGCCCCGCGGCGCGGAGCCCACTCTCGCCGCATCGAGGGCCGCCCACTGTGATCAGCCTGCGCGGCCCCACAAGCCAGCTGCACCAGCGGCGTCGCGGTCGTCTCGCAAGGGCGAAGATGGAAGGGCGCAGCTTATATCGGCACTTCGCTCAGCACCTGGATGATCTCGCCCCTCTCGTCTGGGCTCATCGAGGCGACATTCTCGGCGACGTAATCGGACTTCTCCTTGAAGTGCTTGCGCAGCAGCTCGTGGGCCCGCGGTACCTCGTAGAAGAGCCCTCGGCGGGGCCCACTTCAAGGCCCAGCTGAGTTACTAACTAGTTAGCGCGATTATAACTCACGTATAGGTAATTATAAAAATTAGTTTTTGCAGATGACTATTTCATCGCGTTTTTTTGCAGGGGTGATCCAATGTTAACGTTCGGAGTGTTTCCATTTTCGGTTGGTATGGTGATTCTGGTGATGATGATGGCGACGCTGGCTCATTATGAATTGCATGTGATTTCTGCCTCAAAGAGTAGTAAGTGACCTCACGTATACAAGTGAAGCGAACAGTGAAACTCAGGCATAGTTTCTGCGGTACCCGGTTGGCCAAATGCATGTGATGACAGAGTCTGCCCTCCTGAAAATTGTCGCATGCTTGAGCGTGCTCGTTGGCACGAGGGCTGGTTGCTGGCCTTCGCCGATGGTGTATTTACTCAATCCTGCATGCACCTGGCGAGTTGTCAACCGCACAATCAAGCTCAGTGGTT